AGGAATTTGGGGACTTTGAGAATTTGGGGAATTTACGGAATTTGGAAAATTTGGAAATTTGGGAATTTGAGAATTTGGGGAATTTGAGAATTTGGGAAATATGAGGAATTTGGGGACTTTGAGAATTTGGGGAATTTGGGAATTTGGGAATTTGGGAATTTGGGAATTTGGGAATTTGGGAATTTGGGGAATTTGGGGAATTTGGAGAATTTGGAAACTTTGGAAATTTGGGAATTTGGAAATTTGGGGAATTTGGGGAATTTGTAGAATTTGGGAATTTGTGGAGTTTAAGGAATTTGGAGAATTTGGGGAATTCGTGAAATTTGTGAAATTTTGAGAATTTGGGATCCTAGGAATTTAGGGATTTAGGGACTTAGTGATTTGGTAATGTAGAGACTTGAGAGCAGGAAATTCAGTTAATTTGAGAATCTCAAAACTTAAACATTTCAAATTTCAATCATTCCAAAATTCCTAAATCCAAAAATTCGGATCCCCAAAGTCCAAAAAATTTAGAAAACACTCAAATACCTGATATCCTCAATTTTTGCAAGTATCTTCGTACACGAAATTCTCCCCGAACTGATTGCCTGCATTCTGTGCTATGTTTCCCTACAAATCCACGTTTCTCAAAAAGACTCTACCAGAACTCAATGCTCCATAACTATCTTCAAAACAGTTTCAATTACTTTTTCCCATGAACGATTTTATTCTGATTAGGCGCAGAGGGCGCCCTCCTCTTCACATGCTTCTCCGGAAGCTTGTCCTTCGCCACGGAAACCCCGTTGCAAGCAATTCCCCCTTTACGTTTCCTCAAAGATTCAGTGGGAAGGTACTCAGCTGGTCTGAGCAGTTGTCTAAAATTATAAGGTCCGTTGATGTCTTCAGGATCGTAATCCACTTTGAAGATCTCCGGTTTCTGAATCACGGTTGGTCGCAGCACTTGTCTCAGATCGGTTGGCTCTTTCCTAGCCAGTCGATTAATAACATTCTGAGAATTGAGTCGATTATTTATCCTATCTTCTGCTCGGTTCTTTAGCTCGACTCCTTTGGCCGGCTGCAATTCCCTTGTTCTATCATTCGAATTACTCCTATTGTTTAATCTCGACGGTTTGATCAACTCGTCCTTGACAACCATTTTGTTAATAAATAAACCGTTCTGGCAACCCGTGAAGTTTCGATAGCCTGGCACGTTGATTTTGTTCGTTGAAGGTTCAGTTGGACGACTAGAATCCCGCCCATTCAGGTGATGATTGTTCAAATTGAACGGATGGTTAGGTAATCCATTTTGATGACCGAATCCGTTTTGGTGACCGTTCACGGGGTTACGTTGGTTCGACTGGCGCTCATTAACGTCACCGTATCTGAGGATGTATCTGGATCGTATGCCGTTTGGATTGTTGATATTCGAAGAGTCGACTGGATGTTGCCTACGGCGCGGATTGCCCTCAGCGGGCCGCAGCTTGTTGTTAGACACGTGATTAGTCCTTGTACTGCAAAAAAAGGGCTCTTCTAGTCTGGTTGATTAAGACCACCCCTCAACTACCGACTCAGTTTTTCTGATCTAGAACTACTCAAATGTACTCAAACTTGTGATAGGCCTCGAAACCTGGTGGGGTGCGATTGAGGGACTAATTTACTTGGAATTTTGATCTTTCACCCTGTATGATACCCTGAAGTTTAGATACCGTATTTTTCACCCGGTTTCTATTCCTTGTGCGAAAGTTCTACGTCGAATTTGAATGCCGGAATGGAATCCGTATGACAACTACATGAGCTAAAATTAAATTCAGATGGGGTGATACACTCTACGGACGGCATAATTTTATTGTTTTACCTGGAAGTTTGCCATGATACCTCTGGCAAGGTTACAGAAACACAACAAGAGATTAGTAACTCAATTACTGGTACGATACTGGCTAATGCGAAAATAATGTAGAAGGTGAGAGAATCCGGGGGTGTAAATTAGGAAACCCAAGACCGAAACCGGGTTAGAATGATCGACTTGCAACTTTACCTCGGCCTGCCACAGTTCTCTTGTTCTTGATTCTCCCTCGGATTTCTCAGTGCTTTGTGCCATATATCCGAGAGATGTTGCTCCGGGGTTATCGAAAAGTCGCCCTGAGCTTCCAGACGCTCCCTCCTCTCGGCGTTTACTTCCAGAACTTGGCCCATTCGACTCCTGTCATCAAATACCACTTCACACCTTCTATTCTATGCACTCTTTTTGTACTTTGCACAATTTTGGTTCTCAAATGGGTTTCATAGGTTTTATAGGTTTATTCTAAAATTCTGGCGATTTGTACTTTGCACAATTTTGATTCTCAAGTGGGTTTCATAGGTTTTATAGGTTTATTCTAAAATTCTGGTGATTTGTACTTTGCACAATTTTTATTCTCAAATGGGTTTTATAGGTTTATTCTAAAATTCTGGTGATCACTTCTAAAATTGTGAAGTCTACTAAAATTCTGGAGGTCCTAAGACTCAAGTGACATCACTCTTTTATATTTATAAATATATACTCGCAAATTTTCAATTTTATAAATATGTAAAATTTCAGCCCTTTGCAGTTTGAAATTTTTAAATTATTAAGCAACCAAATTTTCAACCCCTTAAACTGTGAGATTTGCAAATTTCTAAACTCTCAAATTTTCAACCCCATAAATTGTGAAGTTTTCACTCTTCTAAATTCTGAAATTTTCAACCCCTCAAATTCTGAAATTTTCACTTTTGTAAACTCTTAAATTTTCAATCTTTCAAATATCCTAATTTTCAACCCTTCAAATTCTCAAATTTTGATTCTTCTAAATTCCCAAATTTTCAAGCCCCTAAACCCTCAATTTTCCATTCTTCGAAACTCCCAAATTTTCAACCCTTAAGCTCTTAAATTTCCATCCTTCTAAACCCCCAAATTTTCAAGCCCCAAAACTCTTAAATTTCCACTCTTCCAAACTCCCAAATTTTCAACCCTTTAACTCTCAAATTTCGACTCTCCTAAACCCCCAAATTTTTAACTCCCTAAACTCTCAAATTTCCACTCTTCTAAATTTCCAAATTTTCAACCCTCCAAACTCTCAAATTTCCACTCTTCCAAACTCCCAAATTTTCAAGCCCCTAAACTCTTAAATTTCCACTCTTCCAAACTCCTAAATTTTCAACCCTTTAACTCTCAAATTTCGACTCTCCTAAACCCTCAAATTTTTAACTCCCTAAACTCTCAAATTTCCACTCTTCTAAATTCCCACATTTTCAACCCTCTAAACTTTCGAATTTCCATTCTTCTAAACTCCCAAATTTTCGACCCCTAAATTATCAAATAAGACAACTGTCTTATAGGTTATTTTTAAAATTCTGGTGATAGATTATTGTCTTATGGGTTACTTCTAAAATTCTGAAGACTACTAAAATTCTGGAGGTCCTAAGATTCAAGTGACATCACTCTTTCATGTACTTTGCACAATTTTAATTCTCAAATGAACAACTGTTTTATATACGGTTACTTCTGGGGATTACTTCTAAAATTGTGGAGGTTACTTCTAAAATTCTGGAGGCTACTACAATTCAGAAGGTCCTAAGACTCAAGTGACTCAAGTACTTTACTTAGTACAAGTAAATTAGTATAAGTAAATTAGGTTTTGATCCAACAATTCTTAGAGGTGCGGATAAATAGTAAATGAAGATGGAAAGTTCAACGTCAACCTTGGCTAATATGTACACAATACAAACTTGATATTACTATTGCACTACGTACTCCATAAAAATTAATACCTCAAAAGGAAATGCTAAATCGCATGTCAGTTCAACCTACATCATTCAACCCACAGGTTTTAGCTACAAGGTCAAGTTTAAAGATAGCTATAAAGTTTAAGATTACTAAAGCTGATGTTAAGTTGTACTCACTAAGTGACCAATATCATCAAACTACCAATATAATAACCTTAAGGTTTAACAAGTAAATGAAACAGTTTCATTCTGGGGTTAGCATAAAGTACCTCGACAATGGGTGAAGGTCATTTTCTAGCTGTATCAACGGTAAGTCCCAACCAGCTTCGTCTTCGTCGAAGTCCGAACCACTTCCGATGCGAGTGCCAAAAGCATTGGAAAATTGAGCATTCGAATTTTCCATTCGTTCATTGAAACTGGTGAGTTAATCTTGAGGGAAGATTAGATCTATTTACCTGCTCATCTCGTCCTTGAGGTCACGATAATACTTCACGGTCTCCTCTCCGTCCGCTTGGTCTCCGCTTCGGTATTGCATGATGGGTTGCACCATGTTGAATCCTTCGGGTTTCACGTAGTCGGGGGGTGGTTCCTCGATGTCGTTCACTCGTATTCCGGGTTTGTTGCGACGTAGGTTCTTGTGCACCTCTTGGTTCTTCATGTGGACCTGCAAGATTATGAAATTAGAAAATTAAGGGAAGGAAGGAAGTTTGAGAAAATAGCAAGATTTATTGCAAGAAATTTAATAGGATTTAAGTGGGAGAACAGGATGGAGCTTGCGAGGAAAGGGTGAATTATGAGGCATTGAGTTTGAAGCACTGAGAAGGATTGAGGAGATAATAGGGTTAATCACTAGAAAATAATAGGGCGGATTGAGCAATTTTTGCTTACGTTCCGAGAGAACTGTATGAGAAAATAACAGGGTGGATTAATGATTTAGCAATTTTTGCTCACGTTCTGAGAGAACTGTATGAGATCCGCTTGTCTCAGCTTGGGATGCACGGTGTCTTTTGCGGGTGGTTTTCTCGTTTGATCCGTTTCTTCCTTTTTGTACCATCGTTCAACGATCATTTCAGCATCTTCGTTCTTCAAGCCCTCTCTCAGCAGCGCTTTATGCGCCTCGACTTTGTCGTCGTAGTTGTTCAAGATATTCTTGAAACGTTCCTCGTGCTCCGCTCCGAAACGCTTGCGTATAGTGTAGCCTCTGAAATCTGCTAACATCGAACTATTTTTTACTATGAATCCCCTAAGAACTTCAAACAATATACACAGTATGTCTGAAGTTCTGTATGATATACACAGTATGGCGGAAAAGTAACGGAACTTAAATTTAAGGAAACTAGTGCCATCTATTAAAATAATTTATATGAAACCTAACCTACAAAATCATTATTGTATGGTTTATTAAACTTGAATATTTTTCTTATTGCAAATCAAACATTTCTTGCATATTCAAAATGATCACAACAATCATTATTGTATGATTTGTTAACCTTGAATATTTTTCTTATTGCAAGTCAAACATTTCTTGCATATTTAAACTAATCACAACAATCATTATTGTATGGTCTATTAACCTTGAATAATTTTCTTATTGCAAGTCAAACATTTCTAGCATATTTAAAATGATCACAACAATGATTATTTTATGATCTGTTAACCTTGAATAATTTTCTTATTGCAAGTCAAACATTTCTAGCATATTTAAAATGATCACAACAATCATTATTGTATGATCTATTAACCTTGAATATTTTTCTTATTGCAAGTCAAACATTTCCAGCATATTCAAAATATAGATTAGTTCAGGTGGAAACTTAGAATTTCAATGAACAACTCTGCAGTGAAGGTACAAAGATCGTCTATTAAAAATAGTAACATTAAAATTGCATCTGTCTAGTATTAAAATTGCATTCTAGTATTAAACTTGCATCTGTCTAGTATTAAAATAGCATTTGCTTCCACAATGTATTGAATAGACTCACGGCTTTGAATGATGACCGCAGCATCATCCTCCTTCAGTCCCTCCTTCTCAGCTTCATCTTCATTTTCCTTTTCTGGTTCCTCAGCAGCAGCTTTCTCTCGCTCTTCTACAAAAACAATTCTCTTAGCTTCAACTTCTAGCTCAAACCTTGTTAATTCAAACCTTGCTTGTTAGTTCAAACCTTTCGCTCTTTGACAAGCCATAGCCTCCTCCTCCTCCTGCTTCTTCTTCATCTCCTCCAGCAAATGTTTCCTCGACAGCCATCCACGTATGTGTCGCTGTAAGGTAACAACCGACACCGCGAACTGCCATTTTTGTTTCCTGAATCGGATCTTCGCCAGCCATCGACGAACGCACGCCTGCACCATAATGATCTTTCGGAGCTGCTCTTCGTACATTTTTGATAGAAACTCCACGTGGTAGTACTTGAGGAAGACTTTCGTTCTGCCCAGCGCCCAGCCGTCCATTTTCAGGCGGATCAGGAGGAGACGACAGTTGTCGCGGTTCGCTATTACTCGTTCGTCAAAGCCGAACGCTAGGAAACAGTATCTGCAATGGAAATACAAGTTTCAGAAGTGAAGATGGTACAGGTTTTGAAGATACAAGTTTGAGAAATGAAGATGGTACAGGTTTTGAAGATACAAGTTTGAGAAATGAAAATGGTACAAGTTTTGAAGATGCAAGTTTCAGAAATGAAGATAGTAAAAGTATTGAAAATACAAGTTTTTAAGATACAAGTCTGAGAAATGAAAATGGTACAAGTCTTGAAGATGCAAGTTTCAGAAATGAAGATAGTACAAGTCTTGAAGATGCAAGTTTTTAAGATACAAGTTTGAGAAATGAAAATAGTATAAGTTTTGAAGATGCAAGTTTCAGAAATGAAGATAGTACAAGTCTTGAAAGTACAAGTTTTTAAGATACAAGTTTGAGAAATGAAAATAGTACAAGTTTTTAAGATACAAGTTTGAGAAATGAAAATGGTATAAGTTTTGAAGATGCAAGTTTCAGAAATGAAGATAGTACAAGTTTTTAAGATACAAATTTAAAAAATGAAGATGGTACAGGTTTTGAAGATACAAGTTTGAGAAATGAAAATGGTACAAGTTTTTAAGATACAAGTTTGAGAAATGAAAATGGTACAAGTTTTGAAGATGCAAGTTTCAGAAATGAAGATAATACAAGTCTTGAAAGTACAAGTTTTTAAGATACAAGTTTGAGAAATGAAGATGCTACAGGTTTTGAAGATGCAAGTTTGAGAAATGAAAATGGTATAAGTTTTGAAGATACAAGTTTCAGAAATGAAAATGGTACAAGTTTTGAAGATACAAGTTTCAGAAATGAAAATGGTATAAGTTTTGAAGATGCAAGTTTCAGAAATGAAGATAGTACAAGTCTTGAAAGTACAAGTTTTTAAAATACAAGTTTAAAAAATGAAGATGGTTCAGGTTTTGAAGATACAAGTTTGAGAAATGAAAATGGCGCAGTCTTGAAGATACAAGTTTCAGAAATGTAGATAGTACGTGTTGAAGATACAAGTACCAAAAATCTACTAGATCTGGCTCAAAAAATAATGTTACCTCTTCAAAAATTCGTTGAAGGGTATTCTATGAGAGAACCCGTTCTGCCTAATCCTGATGGTCTCCAGAACCCCCGTGTATCTCAACTGCTTCACGACCTTTTCCTTATCGAAAAATTGCGGGCTCTTGGAATCGTTGGGTTTGATGCAACGCACGAATTGCGGAGAACCTGACACCATTTTCTGAAGCAGGTCCATAAGCGAGTATCGGAAGTACGTAGCGACTGTTTGCTGGGCCCTCGATTGAGACGCCAGTCCACGGCTCGAATAACGTTCCTGTATAAAAAAGAATCGGTTCCGTTTACTTTGTTTAACGATAATTGCTGATAAAATAATGTATACTCTAATTATAATTTAATTTTCTAATTTCAACTTTCCACACGTGCGTAATAAACGCAACTTTGTTATAATCTTTAGATTTAAAATCAAATTTCGAAACGGAATTAAGTTTATGGGTTGAACATAGACTAATTGAGTTGTTTGAAATTAACGAGTTTCTCTTTTATCTATTAATTAACATACCTTCGTGTTCTGATTCGATTGCGACAGTTTCTTTGAGTCGGTCTCGTGAACGGCCGAATACAGATTGCCGGTCTTTGTGATCGGACATTGGAACAGGAAACGAACCATGTCGTACTGAGATTGTCTCACCAGTTGGATGACTTCCGGAGGGAGGAAGTTTCTGTTCTTTTCTAGGAATCCTTCCGCTTGGTAGACCACGCGGCCTGCGAAGTGGTGGACGGCGAAGCACACTGCGTCCGATTTTGGGCGCACGTAGAATTTTGATTTGATGTTACTGTGGAACTTCTCTGTAATGACACAAGTTTATATTTAAGTATTTCTTGATATGGAAATGTAGTAGGTGAGATGGATTAGGTGACAGGAAGGTGACGTTAAGATTAGGTATTGGTAGATCTCAACATCTGTAGCTACATTACTGTATACATATATGTTTGCATGCATGTATGTTTGTATACATCTTTAGATGCAAGCATATATACATCAGACATATGTACATATGTTACTTCCAGTTTGGATGGGTATTCCTAGTTTTTATATTATTTGACTGCTGTCAGTAGTTGTCCACATGTCTACATATGTAATCCACACATCAGTGGAGCAACATATATGTGAACATATGTACATCAAACATATGTTCATATGTTACTTCCAGTTTGAACGGGTATTCCTAGTTTTTACATTATTTAACTGCTGTCTGTAGTTGTCCACATGCCTACATATGCAATCCACACATCAGTGGAGCAACATATATGTGAACATATGTACATCAAACATATGTTCATATGTTACTTCCAGTTTGAACGGGTATTCCTAGTTTTTATATTATTTAACTGCTGTCTGTAGTTGTCCACATCTCTACATATGTAATCCACACATCAGTGGAGCAACATATATGTGAACATATGTACATCAAACATATGTTCATATGTTACTTCTAGTTTGGATGGGTATTCCTAGTTTCCATATTATTTGACTGCTATCAGTAGTTGTCCACATTTCTACATATGTAATCCACACATCAGTGGAGCAACATATATGTGAACATATGTACATCAAACATATGTTCATATGTTACTTCCAGTTTGGATGGGTATTCCTAGTTTCCATATTATTTGACTGCTATCAGTAGTTGTCCACATTTCTACATATGTAATCCACACATCAGTGGAGCAACATATATGTGAACATATGTACATCAAACATATGTTCATATGTTACTTCCAGTTTGAACGGGTATTCCTAGTTTTTATATTATTTAACTGCTGTCTGTAGTTGTCCACATCTCTACATATGTAATCCACACATCAGTGGAGCAACATATATGTGAACATATGTACATCAAACATATGTTCATATGTTACTTCCAGTTTGAACGGGTATTCCTAGTTTTTATATTATTTAACTGCTGTCTGTAGTTGTCCACATCTCTACATATGTAATCCACACATCAGTGGAGCATCCAGACCTACATGTCTACATCTACATGTTCACATCTACATGTCCACATCTTCATCCCTAACCTTACATCTCTGCCTCACATATTTAAAAATGTCTATAAAAATCTGTACATTTCTATCCATATAAAATTGTGCAATTGACAGACTTGTTATATAAGGAAACATAGTCTTGAATTCTTTACCTATCAGTGATTTATTAGTAGCTCTCGGGAACCTGCTCTCTTCATCCAACAAAGCCAAAAGCCCCATCGGTTTACTCAGCAGCATATCCAAAACAGGTCTATTATCCGAAAACTCGACCAAATCCACTGGAATTCCTTCAGCCATATATTCCTGCTGCTCCCACGTGAATATATGTTGATTAAAGTAATACTGTATCTGTTCGTTAGCTATATTGATACAGAGTTGTTCGAACGAGTTCCTCGGGAAATTCTCGAAGCCAAAAATGTCGAGGAGACCGATCGCTAATGGCTCGTAGTTAGGCGATCTATTGAAACATAGCAGACAGTTGATTTGATTGACCATCCAGTCGAACAATCGACCATATAATCCTTTCGCCATGGCGTCTCTCGCTGCACAGGCCTCTGCTACCGTGTTGTTTCGCGTGATTGTTTCACCTCGGGTCATTACGGAGTTCGATGTCAGTGCTTCTAGGAGATCGTTTTCTTCCACACCGAGGAGCTGTGACACTGAAATGTTAGATTTTGGGTTTTGGGTTAGGTTAGGATAGTTATTTAGGTTTGTGCATTTTGCAATTTTTTTAAGTTTGAGAATTTTTGAATTTTCGAGTTTTCAAGGTTTGGAATTTTCAAATTACCGAATTTTCAAGCTTTCAAATTTATAAATTACCGAATTCTCAAGTTTCCGAATTTCCAAAGCACCAAATTCTCTATTTCCCCAGTTTCTAAATTCCTAAATTTCTAAATTTCCAAATTTCCAAATTACCAAATCTCCAAAGCCTCAAATCCCTAAATTTTCAAATTTCTGAATTCTCAGATTTCCAAATATTCTATTTTCCAAATTTCTAAATTCTCATATCTCCAAATCCCAAAATTCTCAAATTCCCAAGCCTTCAAATCTCCAAATCTCCAAATCCCCCAAATTCTCCAAATTCTCCAAATTCTCCAAATTCTCCAAATTCTCCAAATTCTCCAAATTCCTTAAATTCTCAAAATTTCCCAAATCCCTCAAATCTTCTAAATTTCCCAAATTCCCTAAATTCTCCAAATTCCCTAGGTCCCACAAATTCCTCAAATTCCACAAATTCTCTAAATTCTCAAAATTCCCCAAACCCCCCAAATCTTCTAAATTTCCCAGATTCCCTAAATTCTCCAAATTCTTTAAATTCTTCAAATTCCCCAAATCCCCCAAATCTTCTAAATTTCCCAAATTCCCTAAATTCTCCAAATTCCCTAGGTCCCACAAATCCTCCAAATTTTCCAAATTCCCCAAACTCCCCCAAAATCCACAAATCCTCCAAATTTCCCAAATTCCCCAATTCCCTACCTCCAAAAAATCCCCAAAATATAAATACCTCTATGCAGCGGAGCAGTGTCAATAACTCTGCTCTTGTTATCAGTATTATCTTCGCTCGCCACTTCTCCAAACTCGATGTCCCCCAAATGAAGAATCGCGGCCAGAATGCGATATATCGTGTTCACCTCGGTGTCCTGAAATCCGAGTAACTTAAATCCTGCCTTCAACTGTTGGAATTTATCGATATGCGTCTGCGACGTCTGATTCTGATCAGCGAGATATCTATGTTGCTTTCGGAGGTTCGGATCTAGATAGAACTCTGATAAACGATCATCCGCCTCCAGGCCGTCGTACATGTAGTAAAATATGTGAAAGTTGCGTTCGCCCCTGAAAGAAATTACAATCTTCTTCTAATTACTGTTAGAAGTAATTGTCAACAATTGACAACTAACATTGTCAACGAAACAATCAACAATTATTAACAAAATCAGCATAATAAATTATGATGAATCATGAGTAATACTCACTCAGCTTGAGCCACGACTCTAGATTGCTCCAACAAATAAACGGAAATCCTAGCACCCGTCACTTTCCCGCCTTTCGTCATCGTCAAGTCCAAATACTTCCCGAACCTCGACGAGTTTGCATTTATTCCAGTGGTCGCGTTACCGAACGCCTCCATTATCGGGTTAATTTGCAGGATCCTTTCTTCCAGGTTACGGTTTGGCGCCTTGCTTAGGTATACTAATTGCTTCAGCAACAAATTAGCGCTCTCCGTTTTTCCGGCACCTGATTCGCCGCTAATCACGATCGCTTGGTTCTGTCGTTGGTGCAACAACGCCTGATAGGCTGCGTCCGCGACCGCGAATATGTGGGGCGGGTTGTCTGATCTTGCTTGACCCTTGTATCTCTTTTGTTCCTAGATGAAGTCGTTAAAAATTGCATGTTAGGACTTTTACTCTCTGAGTTAGGGTACTTCTATACTGGGGTATAGATCTATATAGGATCTATACCCCAGTATAGAAGTACCCCAGTATAGATTCTGGGGTACTTATAGTCATTCAGGGGTCAGATTGTTGTTGGGCAAAAAAGATAATCCAGATGCGGGTTTGATCAAAATTTAGTGTGGATGGGTGCACACTTTCTTTTGCAATTTTTCTGTCATAGCTTAGGTGTACTTTTCTATGAGTTTCTGTCGCAAAGTTAGAATAGTGGACTGCTAAATAAATTTGACTCAAGGACTTGTACATTGTTAGATATTGTTGATTAGTGGCCTGGTCATCTGAGCTGTCCAGCTGATGTGGACAACAGCAAGCTATATTATCGTGTCAAGTCACAAACTTCACCCAACAAATCCACACAGAACTGTTCATCCTCTCATTCAACAAACATCTGACTCCAGACCTCTCAGATTAAATGCAAACATTCACTGCAAAATGTCTCTTCATCCATAAGCTATCCACCCAGAACCCTAACCTCTAACAATTAAATCCAAGAAAATTACTCACAATGCCAGTGTACAATCCCAAGTTCGTAAAAGGGTTAACAGCCACGAGTATATCTCCTATATAAGTATATATCTGCGCCTGTTCATATCGATGCTGCAGCTGATCAACAATGGCGTCCTCTGAGAGCGTATCCAAAGCAGCCAGATCATCCATGTACATCTTCTCCGGCCTCGTCTTTCGGTCCGTCTTCAGTTTCCCATGTTTGGTCGTCACTTCCGGTTGCGTGTGAACCCTACCGTCGGTCCTCTGTCGACAAATCTCCTCTCGAAGCTCGTTTCTGACCTTCTCGACGTTCGGTTCGACGCTGGTCAACAGAGGATGCTCCTTCAATTCGCTGGCGAACGGTCGATACTCGAGATCTTTCACCAAACACTCGGTTACGAAGTCCACCAACTCTGGACAGTGTATGTCGGGATTTTTCAGAGCTGGTGGGGGATTTCTGGGGATTTGAAAGAGCGCCCTCATCGGATGCAGGTCGGATAGCGGAGGATCCCCTTCTGCTAACTCGATAGCGGTGATCCCGACCGACCAGACGTCGCAGCGGGAATCGTAGGAGGAGTCCAGTTGTTGCTCGCACGCGATTACCTGTTATTCGTTTCGTTGAATTTTGGGAAGTTTGAAGTTTTTACAAAATTAAGATATGGAGGGATTTGGAGGGTGTAGGATTTGGAGGCTTGGACGTGTGGAAGTTTGGAGAGATAGGAGATTTGGGGAATTGGAGTATGTGAAGGTTTGGAGATATGGGGAGTTGAGAATTTAGGGATTTGGGAGATTTGGAGAGTTGAGAATTTAGGGATTTGGGAGATTTGGAGAGTTGAGAATTTAGGGATTTTGGAGATTTGGAGAGTTGAGAATTTAGGGATTTGGGAGATTTGGAGAGTTGAGAATTTAAGGATTTGGGAGATTTGCATAGTTAGGGAATTGGGATATGTGGGGGTTTGGAGATTTAGGGGTTTGAGAATTTAGGGATGTGGGAGATTTGAGAGATATGAAGGTTTTGGAAAATTTGGAGAGTTAGGAGATTTGGGAAATTGGGAAATGTAAGGCTTTGGAGATTTGTAGACTTGAGAATTTGGGGATTTGAGAGATTTGGCGGATTTAACGAACTCAAAGTATTTGAAAAATTTATGGGAGGGGGAAATTTGGAGGTTTTGTAGGATTTGGTGATTTGACATTTGGAGATGTGGGGATATGAAGGTATAGGTGATGCAGAGATGTGGACATGTGGATATGTGGACATATGGAGATGTGGACATGTGGAGGTATAGGTGATGTAGAGATGTGGACATGTAGATATGTGTGGATATGGACATGTGGACATGTAGATATGTGTGGATATGGACATGTGGACATGTGGAGGTATAGGTGATGCAGAGATGTGGACATGTAGATATATGGAGATGTGCAGGTGTGGACATGTGGAGACATAGGTGATGTGAACATGTAGATATGTGGTGATGTGCAGGTGTGGACATGTGGAGACATAGGTGATGTAGACATGTGGAGATGTGAACATGTAGATATGTGGAGATGTGCAGGTGTGCACATGTGGAGACATAGGTGATGTAAACATGTGGAGATGTGGACATGTGGAGATGTGGAGATGTGGAGATGTAAACATGTAAACATGTGGAGATGTGGAGATGTGGAGATGTGAGATGTGGAGGTGTGGACATGTGGAATACAGGTGATGTAAAGATATGAACATGTAGACATGTGGACATATGGAGATATAGGTAATATAGAGATATGGACATGTAAACATATGGAGATGTAGACATGTATACATGCGTTCATATGAAGATGTGGATTTTTGAGGATGAGAATATATGGAGTTTTTGGGATGCGAACATGTGGAGGTTTGAAGATGTAAAGATGTAGGTACACACACATATGAAGTTATGTAGATGATGATACTTAGTAATACGAAAATTCCAAGATGTATAGTCTTTTTTAAATTTATTAAGTAATGCATACCTCAGGCGCCATCCAATACGGTGTACCAACAGATGTATTTTTCCTAGCAAGCGTCGCAACGAGATGCGAAGAAACTCCAAAGTCAACCAACTTCACATGTGCATCCTCGTTAAGCAGAATATTATGTCCCTTAACGTCACGGTGCATGCAGTGATTGCTATGCAAATAAACTAACGCCTCCACTGTTTCCCGAAGGATGTAGGCTATTTGTTCGTCCGTTAAACGTTTTCCTTTCTTCTTTAGACCTTGGACGAGATCGGTCACCGATCCTCCCGCGCACAGCTAATTCACCAAATGTACTACGTTAATTCTCTTCAAAATGTATTAGATCTAACTATAGTTAAAACGATCATTTTGTGTTTGAGCAGTATATATTTGTGGACCAATGATTGATCGTTAAATTAATCATGAAACTTGAAAACATATATGTTTGGACATAAAGGTTGAATCACTAATATTGCCATTTGAAATAACATTAATCGGGTCATTTTTGTCTCACAACCACAAAGTGAAACTTGTCATATCACTGCAATAATAATCGATGAATTACTGAGACATAAACATGATACTAATCGTAGAAAAATGATGGATTAATTCACTAATTTGTAGAACAGGAAGTCCAAAGACTCTCAACGTCTACCTATGAACAAACTCCAACCCAACATTAACTTCCTCCAAATCGTTGAACCATCAAAAGATAATTATACCCAGCTCGACAACAGTTATCGGTTAATTGCAACTTAATAAGATGATCAGCAGGTTGATAATTCGTACAAATGTTAGCTAGGATTTTTTACCGGTTACGCTTTCCTGACCGTGTTACGAGAAAGTCAGAACGACAATACCTCCATGACGAACCATAATTGATCCTCTTCCTGAGCTGGTTTCGCTCTCTTCAGAAATAAACCGTGAAACTGTGGGATGTTTGGATGATGGCTGAGGTCCCTTAACACCAGATACTCCTCTTCGATCTCTTCTATATTGTCCGCCACGTTCTCCAGGATTTTAATCGCGACTTTGTTGCCGGTTTCGTTGTCGTGTGCGCTGTAAACTTCTCCGTAGGTACCTTCGCCGATCAGTTCCTCTAGGACGAAACGGTCTTCGGGGTCGGGTATCACGTCGAAGTTCACGTGCTGGCTGAGACCGTGGTACGCCATGTTGGTACCACCTCCGGTCATTTCTGAAATTATTGAGAATGTTTGGTTGGTGAGGTGACTTTGGTTTGGGGAAGGAGGAATTTTGGGCAATGAGGAACTTTGGGCAGTGAGGAACTTTGGACAATGAGGAGCTTTGGGATTTTATGTAGGGGAAGATTTGGGGTATGTGGAGGTAGGATCATGAAGGTTTGGAGTATGTGAAGATAGGGATTTGAAATTTTGGGTTTGAGAAGATAGGGATTTGGAGATTTGGGGGTTGTGGAATTAGGAATTGTGAGGATTTTGAGTTTGTGGAGATAGAATTATGAAGGTTTGGAGTATGTGGAGATAGGGATTTGGGGATTTGGGGGTTGTGGAATTAGGAATTGTGAGGATTTGGGATATGTGGAGTCAGGAATTGTGAGATTTGGGGTATGTGGAATTAGGGATTGTGAGATTTGGGATATGTGGAGTTAGGGATTGTGAGATGTGGGATATGTGGAATTAGAGATTTGGAGATTTGGAGTATGTGGAATTTGGAATTTGGAGATTTAGGGTATGTGGAATTTGGGATTTGGAGATTTGGGGTATGTGGAATTAGGGATTTGGAGATTTAGGATATGTGGAGATGGGGGTTTGGAGATTTGGGATATGTGGAATTTGGGATTTGGATATTTAGGGTATGTGGAATTTGGGATTTGGAGATTTGGGGTATGTGGAATTTGGGATGTGGAGATTTGGAGTATGTGGAATTTGGAATTTGGAGATTTGGGATATGTGGAGTTAGGGATTGTGAGATGTGGGATATGTGGAATTAGAGATTTGGAGATTTGGAGTATGTGGAGTTAGGAATTTGGAGATTTGGGATATGTGGAGTTAAGAATTGTGAGATTTGGGGTATGTTGATTTAGAGATTGTGAGATTTGGGATATGTGGAGTTAGGGATTGTGAGATGTGGGATATGTGGAATTAGAGATTTGGAGATTTGGAGTATGTGGAATTTGGAATTTGGAGATTTGGGATATGTGGAGTTAGGAATTGTGAGATTTGGGGTATGTGGAATTAGGGATTGTGAGATTTGGGATATGTGGAGTTAGGGATTGTGAGATGTGGGATATGTGGAATTAGGGATTTGGAGATTTGGAGTATGTGAAGTTAGGGATTGTGAGATTTGGAACACGTAGAGTTAGGGATTGTGAGATTTGGAATATGTGGAATTAGGAATTGTGAGATGTGGGATATGTGGAATTAGGGATTGTGAGATTTGGTATATGTGAAGTTAGGAATTTGAAGATTTGGGATATGTAGACTTAGAAATATTTAAACTTAGCACATATGGATTTAGAAATATGATAATTTTAGGATTTGGATTCTGTATGTTGGGAATTTGTGTGATAATTTGGAGATTCCAAGAATTATAAATTTTGCAAATAAAAACCATAGGAACATAGTATTAATTACAGAATTTAAGATACCTTAGGAGTCTAAAACTTTGGTTCTTTGAAATTTAGGAGAATCTTGAAATTTTAGTAGGTACTTTCATGTTTTATAACTCTCAAGTTTGTTAATTTTTGTAATTTTGAACTTGTAGTGATTCCAACATACTTCACTTTAGAAACTTAATACATCAAATGTAAAATAGGGTCAATAATGACCCAGGTTCTCAAATTCTTCAATATAGCTCTAATATCTTGATATTTGTAATTGTGCAGTTCAAAATGAAAATGATTTAAAACTATACTCAATCTTCATAGTAATCTTGATATTTTTAATCTACACATATCCTAATAGTAATTAACAAAATGATTAAATATTACTTTGAACTCTCGATCATTCAAAGATGACAGTAAAATTCCAAATCTCCTTAGAAAATATTTTAAATATAAAATCCCTAAATAATATAAACTCCCTAAAAAATATAAAATCTCTTAAATCGTGCTCCTTAAACTTACAACTATAGAATAGAAATTCTATACAACTATAGATAGAAAATTAACAAAACCGCGTTTCGAATCGATCCTTGGATCGAGCCTCGTAGAAAGTTGCGTTGAACAGAAAGAAAAGTCATTACTCTACCTTCAACCACTTCCCCAAATACCAAAACTAAAATCAATCGACATCGCAAGAAATAAGCCTCTTAATTCGATTAAATTCACTCAAATAAACGAGATTTCCTAAGTCAGTTAAGTCCCTTACATAACGCGTTATTATATTCTCTAATTATAATTGAATTTAAATTTCACACGTAAACAAAATTAAATTAACCACAATTACATAATTATTTCAAAACACTAAAATCATATGAAAAACACCTTTTCTACAACCAAAAGTTAGATCACCAAAAAAATTCCTTCAAAAAAACAAATTTACTCACTTCACTTTAAGTAACATTCTTTTTTGGTAAAATTATTTTCTACCCACCGATAATATCACCCATTTTGATAACTCGTTGGTCGTCTCAAAAATGCCGATGCCTCATTTAACTGTTAGTGATTTTGACGAACACTGTTCACTTGACCAGCTACGGAGTACGACTGGGTCGTTCGTCTTCTAACCAGATACCTGTTAACCCCTTAATAGGATTGGACTCTGTAAGACCGGCGCACTTCTGCTGGGTCTCAGAAATAGGTCTCGTAAGAAGACCATGCCATGTGTTCCACTGTCATTTTAATTCCTCTTCTTGATATTAATTTCATAATCGATTAAATGGATAGGCTTTCGTACGCACCAATGTGACACTCAATGCGATTGAACATGGGTTCCATTGGGTTGTCCCGAAAGTTCGTTTTCGGTAGGCGGCATGAAAGTTTATTTAGAAAAATTTTTCACCGAAAAACCTGAGAAAGTTTGACCTGAGTTGCGTGAAAGATGGAGAAAGGTTATGGAATTGAATAGCACCTGTATAATTTAATAAATGTATACCAAATTTAAATGAGCTGCGTTTCAAAGCCCCTTCAAAATCGGCATTAAAAAGAATATATTAGCTATCTGCTGATCGAGGATGTATCGATGTCTATTTGTATCTTCGGAGGAGTTCGATGTTTTTGAGGAACTCGATGTTGATGACGTATTGATGAGGTATCGGTTATTGGTATCTTCATTATTATGTTATGGATTGATACGAATCGATATTTCTGAGGACATACTAAGACTGAGCTACTGATCGAAGATATATTGATACGTATCGATGAGGTATTGGATTTTCGTATCTTTATGGAGGCGTCACGGATTGATACCAATCGATATTTTTGAGGAACTGAGAGATATCGATATTGATACGTATTGATGACGTATTGATGAGGTATCGGTTATTGGTATCTTCATTATTATGTTATGGATCGATACGAATCGATATTTCTGAGAACATACTAAGACTAAGCTACTGATCGAAGGTATATTGATACGTATCGATGAGGTATTGGTTCTTCGTATCTTTATGGAGGTGTCAGGGATTGATACCAATCGATATTTTTGAGGAACTGAGAGGTGCTGATATTGATACGTATTGATGACGTATCGATGAGGTATCGGTTTGAGACAAATAGTTACTGATCGAACTTGTATCAATAGGTATCGATTATTGGTACTTTTGTGGAGGTGTCACAGATTGATACGAGTCGATGTTCTTGAGGAAATACTAAGACAAATAGCTACTGATCGAACCTACACATATCGATAAGTATCGCTGCTGTATCAATTATTGACATTATTGTAAAGCTATCAAGTTTGGTATACTTTCGAAGAAATTTTATGAGAATTGATTTCATTTGGTTAATTGATTATTTGAGGATAGGAAGTGATTTATGTCTTCAAGATCTCAAAATAACAAAATTTCTACACAGTTCACTGGAAATTCTAAAACTTTATAAAATTGAGAAATTGAAGAATTGGAAGAATTGGAGAATTGAGGAATTGGGGAATTGAGGAATTGAAAGATTGGAGAACTGGAGAATTGAAGAATTGAAGAAT